CCAAGCAGTGTGGTTCTTTTGCCTAGTTTGGTGAGTGAGTACAGTGAGGGAGCTTTGTAGCCGTGTTTTTTTTGCTCACCTGTTTGAACGCCATTATCATTGTCTGATTTGTTTTGTTGGCTTCCTATCAAGAGCTCACGAGCTTCAAACACAACACCGGGATAGGTTGAGTGGTGGAAGCTCCAACCGGTTCCTCACCTCAGTGTTTGGTGCCAACTTCCCCAGCTTCCCGCCCCGCGGTTCCCGTCCCCAAAACGGGCCATCACCAACTCCAGCCGGCCACGAGTGACGTGATGAAAACGACGCTCGGCCTTGGGATTCTCCGAAACAGGGGAGCTCAGCACAAACCTGCGGGTCCGACTGGTCCGTCGTTTTGGAAGGTAAGGATAACACTCTGATCAGTGCAGAGCAGTTCAAATCAGTCTAGTAGAATGCCTTGGCAAAGAATATACGTCTTTCAAGACCTCTGTGGCCGTGACTTGCACCAAAAGGAGACAAACACATGAAACAAAGCAGTTCACCGCCCCAGCAGCCAGTGAACGATGATCGGTCCGTGTCTTCTGGTCCTACTCTTCGTTTTCGACCGTTTGGGGTTGACCGGCACACCGGCTGGAGTCCAAACGACGACTCATCGACTCGTAGAACTTCAGCTGTCGACTGACCCACACGACCCACACTGCACTCGACATGTGGCTTGGAACTTTCGATAATGATCCCAAAACTGTCGAACAAACAAAAGCTGACTGATGCTTAGTAAAGAATGAGGGAATGGATCCTATGGTATCTATAGTGAGGGGTCATTCTCTCATTCCCTACTAAGCACCAGTCAGAAAGATTCAGATATATTCGGAAGAAGTTTAAAGGTGCAAGGGGAAACTATCACTTTAGTTCAAGGATCGACCATTCTAGGATCACACCTGATTTACCCGAAAACAGTGCCCTTCATAAATGCTTAGCATGTATCAAACTATATATGGATCATATAAGTTCTAATACTATATTTAGAACGTTCACAAAACCCATGATTCAATATGCTTCACTGCTTCACCCTGAGAGTGTTGTTTCACTCGCGCCTCGCACGCCAGAACACGCCTCGCCTCCCCTGGGAAGCTTCCACTTCAACCTCTTCCAGTTGGACCTCCAGTGAAGAACAGCAGATTCCAACAAGAGTCATCTTTTCGCCAGGTAGAATCAGTAGCTGCTGTGATGCTGGCTCCAGCGGATCACTGGTAGAATTTTGAGGGATAACCATGGGTATCCCAAGTAACCTAGCCTACTAGTATGAACGTTGTTGTGCAGAAGATGATGCAGTCAATGTCGTGTTGTTACTTGTGGCCTCAGAAAGTGAACAGAGTCAATCGTGCCCGTGGAAGTACTATCTATGTCTTTAACAGGTATCCCGTTATCCTTTTTCTGTGCGTGTGGAAATAATCTGGTTGGAACATTGGGCCCCATCCGCAGTGGCCTGCACAACCTGTTCGCAACCATAACTTGGACTTGCTGACACTTAAGTGGAATTTAGTTTAGAAAAACAACTTCAACAGGTTGACTAACTATCCACTTCCATTGGCTGTGTGTGTCGGAGGGTATCTTCTCTGATTCATCAGGACCCACCAACTCACCGCTATTGGACTTAGGACCACCTCCAGCCGACCGGGACCACCTCCAGCAGCTGGCAGCGAAACCCGAAAAGGACCTGCCTCGGTCTGGGTTGGATGGAAGCTGCTGCCCGCCGCCTCGCGATATCTCTGCAGCGCCGACAGCACCGGGTCGGCGCCTACGCGTCCTGGACGCCACGGAGCGGGTCACCTCTTGGGCGGGACGATGGGAGGGAGCACGGTTTCGGTGGTGACCCAAACCATCCATGGTATGGAATGGCTTATACATTATATAGGGTCATGAGTCATATGGGGCAAATCAATGAAAAGTGTATCTACGTCACGATTCCAGTCGCATATCGATGGTCGGTCTTCGTGCCGAAAGGCCTTGATGACCTCAAAGGAGTCGGACTAGACGGCCCTGCTAGAGCGGGAAAGCTAAGCCGTGCTATGTAAGGACAGGACATCGCCCGGTGCTGCGTCCTGGCAGTTGTGGTGGCTTTGCAGGCTTTGAGGGCATTGGTTTTTTGGGTCAGCCCACGTTCACCCTGATGCAGGTGTCATGCAAATGTCCTATATCAGGTCCACCCTCTGAATGCGCCCGGGTCTTCTTATATGTCTTGTATAGGTCTTGTAGGATGAGCCGACAGAAGAGTACAGTATGATGGAAGAAAAGAACAACATCAGGTTCCGGTACAACTTTGCAAAAGGTCTATTCATCTTGCGGGACGAACATCTGAACGGTCCTTACGCTTTATAACTTGAGGAGCTTAAGTGAAGTGTTCATGAGCAACACCGAAACAAAGCACACAAACATTGGCAGCGGTGTCCACTAACGCGCAGGTGTGCTGTGTTGGGACGTGAGATTGAGATGTCTTTTTGTTTCTGCGTAACTGTGTTCAATCATTGGAAACGTGTTGAATACGAGCTTTAAACGTCTGTTCTAGCTTTGAAATTATCCACCGCTTCTTTCTTATCTCGTCTATGTTTGTTCCAAAAAACATGAAACAACATGTAATAGAGCGGTTTGATGACAAACGCTTCATCCGCGCGGCGACTCCGGAGTCCAGTGTGATCTTCCGGGGTCCGAGTGTCTGGCCGTCTGACCCCGATCTTCCGGGTCATGGTGCGAACCTGGACTGCTAACCTTCCTCCAATCCATCGGCCTGGGATTGGATACCAATATTCTGTCGTTGCCTCTAGCAGCTCGGTAGAATCGGATTCACCGGTCGCCTCTGTCCACCGGTGGGAACCGGTCACGTGGCGACGTCTCGGTCTCGTCGGTCTCGCCTGGGTTCAGCACCTCGTGGCCTCGGTGGACCGGTGGATCCGATCGCTGAAGCGGAGTGACTTGGAGTCTGAAGCGGAGTCGGGGGGGTTTGGGGGGGGGGTTGAATCCTTGGGACTTGGGATTGCTTTTGTCTTTTTCAGATGAATAAGATCTTCATCTGAATCTGGAGTTGGAAAATATCAGATCTTCATCTGAATCGGAGTCTTGTTTTGGAGTCTGACTGAAGGAATGGCGCCCGTGCCGGTCGGACTTGGCACCCCTGCCGCGCTCCGCATGCACTTGGGGCAGCGGCGCCATCTGGAAGTTCGCAGCGAAAACAGTGGTCCACATAGATCACACAAACACAACATGTCCAAACGTGTGACACGCAATGTGTTTCACCTCTACATCAAAATGGCACAAACATACACCCATGGGTTAGTCCACTGCTTTTGACATGTCCATCACATGCGGGTCCCACCTCACTTAAATTGGACTTGCAAGGACTTGGGTCGTTTATTGTCCTTAAATGTCCTCCTTCGAACACCACGTTTCATGGAATACACACATTCCCACATGTTGATCAGTTGACGCGTCCAGTCTCTGAGCGCGTCCGTCTCACCGATGCCTGAAGGGCGGCGTGAGCTTTGGCCGCAAACGTTCAGTTCCGAGCCGATGCCGTGGCAGCCGGTCTTGATGAATAGTGAACAAAGTGGTTGGTTGGTCGGTCGGTCGGTCGGTCAAAGCAATAAACATGGGAGCGCGGAGCGCTGTAGCCCTCTCTCTCTCTCTCTCTTTCTTCACACACCGGACCTTTGACTATCGCCACATATGTGCATGTGGCTTTGCAAATCTCAGCTCATTCTTTGAGGAACCAAGGTCAGAAAGCGTGTCTGCGTTTTGGGCAGGGTGTTCCTGCGTCAGAGGCCTCGTTTCTGATGAGCATTGAACACCATTAATATCCGAAACAATTTTGTTGGATCATTGTAGAGCTGCCACGATAGATTTATTTTACAGCCTGATTTTGGTCCTGGGTCAGCTGCCAGAGTTCTACAGTGATAGAGCTGCTACAGTGAATCTCTCTGTGAGTGGCTTTCACGACGCTGCACTTTGGAATGCTACTCCTTCTACTCCACCGATGTGTTTCCTCGCTTCGACTCCACTCGTTCGCCAACTCCACGTGTCGATCGTGTCGGTCCTGTTCTCCTGACCCAGCTAAGCTGAACAGCAGTCTTTGAGCCTGGCCTCAAGAGAACGGCAAAGATCCACACATGGACTAGTACATATTATCACTTCTGTTGACCCAACGAATCTCTGGGGTCTCCCTTTTTTGTGCACATCAGTCGATCTGATTGGGGAAAACTTGCTTTTGCAGCAAGGAATTATATCGTGAGATTCATCTCTCTCGACCGGTGAAGGACACCAACAGCAACTCTCTAAGACTGAGAAGTTGTCTTCCACCGATGGCTTGTGCCCAGACAATTGTCATAGTCTTAGTCAAGCAACCTCATCTCCCCAACAATCCATCCATGTAATTACTGTATGAGTTATTAGGTCATAAATGGGGTAGCTATTCCATGCATAGATGGCCTGGGAGACTGTTGGGGCAGAATTCTCCAGGAGCTCCAGGTGGAATCGTTGCACACCTTCAACGCCTCTGCGGTTGCTAGGAAAGGTGGCTCTTGACCACAGGCTCTTGGAAAATCTGGCTTCTTGATTCCTACTCCAGAATAAGGGAAGCAAACAAAACGGCGCCGCTGCCCTCAGACAATGGAGATGCACCATCACAGTGAAAACTCGCAGCCATGTCATGGACCACGAATTCAAGCGCATGTGCATCCATTCCCTCATTCCCGTTCGTCAAGAAGCCATCTACGTTCGTTTTTTGGACAAAACACTTGGTCACGAATGATCTTGCACGTAGGCCGGCCACGCTTCTCCAATTAGCTCATGACCAAGTATATCGGAGCAAGCTGTGGCTCTTTGTCTATTAATTATACATGCTCGCATTGTTTTAGCACCCGTAACCGCTGGCAAACATCCAAGACATTTTGGCATCTGCGATCGTAGATTGTATAGTTGATTGAAATACATTCTCGCAAAAGGGTCTTGAGATGTCTTGAGTATCAATCACTCCTCTTTACAGCTCGCTACTGTGCTTGCGCACCACTGAGCCAGCCTATTTGTGGGCAAGTCATGGGTATCTACGCATGGAAGCCTGGCAAACTTCACCCCATCCGAAAGCTTTTTCGGAGGTCAGTCTGGGGTGTCTCACTTCCGATTCAGCTCTCCTCTCCTTCGGATCGAAGAAAAATCGCGGCTCATGTGTGCTCCAAGACATGCTTGCTGAATTGGCTGCTCTTCCTGAGAAGTCATAGGCTTGGCTCGTTTTCCTTGACTATAGGCAGTGTTTGCTAGGGCTTCACACTATTGTCGTGCCTCACCCATGTGCTCCTGGACCAACCTGAAACCGGGCTTTACTAGAAAGGACAAAAATAAACAAAAATACCAAAACGATTCCAAGTCACTGAAATTAAATTGGCCTTTTTGACAGTGTCGAGTAGTCTGTCGTCGTCTGCGTCATTTAGTTTTCAAGACAATCCAAGAGCAAACCACAGGACATGTGTCCTTTTCAAGCGGTTCTGGTTTGAGAGTCTGATTCATGCGTCTCGACATCTATTCTTTACAATTACTTCAACCAATACACATGTGTGATGGTACTATAGAACTATATGCGGTCTTAAATGATTGTGCGTTGTCTTTTTTTCCATGCAAAGGCTTGGTGCCACACCGTAACCAACCATGCAAACTATATATAGATGATTTTATGTTAGATGTTTTTAAAGGCTCTGAGGTTCCAGGCATCCCCTGCACACCTCTAACATTCTTAGGTTGTTTCCAAAATTGTTTAATTGTTTCTAAAACTGTTTCTAAAATTGTTTTAATTGTTTGTAAAGTTGTTCTAAAATTGTTTTAATTGTTTGTAAAATTGTTCTAAAATTGTTTAATTGTTTCTAAAACTGTTTCTAAAGTTATTTTAATTGTTTGTAACATTGTTCGAACATTGTTTAATTGTTTCTAAAAATGTTTCTAAAATTGTTTAATTGTTTCTAAAATTGTTCTAAAGTTATTTAATTGTTTCTAAAATTGTTTCTAAACTTGCTTAAGTGTTTCACAAACTGTTTCTAAAATTGTTTGATTGTTTCAAGCATCGTTTGTAGCATTGGAAAGATCGTCAAATTGCCACTTAAATTGTGAAATCAGTTGGATCATTTGGATATATAGCGGTTTGTAAGTTTGAAATACTTGTCGTTATTGTTTGAACATGTGGAGAAAGCATGCTTTACAAACATGACCGAATCAGCGAACGGCGCCAATCAGCGAACGCACTTTTTCATTCAAACTGGCGGCCAGCAAGTCATCAAGCAAAACCTTAGCCTTAGCCCATCTCCCTACCTGGCCAGTGGCCTTGGCTGCCGTTTCTTCAACAAAGCCAGTGCAGCCATGGAATCTCCACTACCTGGCCAGTGGCCTTGGCTGCCGTTGCTTCAACAAAGCCACTGCAGCCAAGGCAGTTGCCACATCTTCTGAGCCGGGATCACTTGCATTGTCTCGTCGAGGAATCCATGGGAGGGACGCGACCCCAGCTTGGAAAATAGCCATAGCCACTGGGAGCGCCATAGCGTTGCCGGCAAGGTCTTGGAGGAAAGAATGAGAAGAGCTAGCAGCAGGCAGGCTGCATTTATCTTGAAGGTCTTGGAGGAGCAAAATGGGAAAGCCTTGAAACATCAGAGCTTCCTCACCTACCATGAGCCGCTGGCGCGACTCCATCCACAGCTGCTGCCCTGGCAGCATGGTCGGCGCCAGCTGTTTGGGGCTACATTCTCTTTGCCAGCTGACAAAGCCTCCACGTCCAAAGCCTTGACAGCTCTCAGGTTCAGGAGAATACGGCTTTCAATCTCTGCCAAGACAAACTCACCAAGTTGCTCTGACCCTATGGCAGCTTGCAAGCTCTTCATAGAAGGCTTGCTCAGCAGGACTGCTCATAAAACTTGTCATACTCACTGTAGAGGCAATTCTGAGCAGCTTTGGCCAAAGCTAGCCTCAAAGTATAGCAGGTTCCCAAAGATTCAACGCCCAACAGTTCCAGGTGCTTGCTGCTCTCCTCAACAGACGTGACCACAGACTCTGGAGAAGAAGTTGGGCTTGATACTGCTGTGAACAGGTTCTGGAAAGCCAAAGCTGCTGCCTCTAGGGAGTCGAGGTCTTTGAGTTCATTGTCGAACAAGTCCCTGTTGGAGCTTTTGTCCATTCGCTTGCTGTGTTCCCTGGCCTGTCTGCCAATGGACTTGACTTCAGCAATTCGATCGGCACAGCTCTGCTTGAAGGTAGCTTGGGAGTGGGCGTCAGGCTCTGGCACTGCGTCATCGACCCTCACCTTTGCCAACTTGGACTTCAGTTCAACAACTTTGTCCTGCAGGTTGCGCAAGGCCCCTTTGGGCTCGCCCATCTGCAAGCAGTGTGTTTCCACTGTCCTGGCTGCCCTGCTTCCCAAAGCCTGTTGATGATGACGACGCCTTCCCTTTGGCATCACGACCTCTTGGGCCAGGCTGTTGCGATCCTGGCCTGTGGCCGCTGTTGAAGGCCTGCTGGTTGAGGGCTTGCTGCTGGCTGTGGCTGGATTGCTGGCTTGCTGCTCGCCGCGTCTACCTGGCTTCTTCTTTGCGTCAAGGTTTGCTGGAGCCTGATGTTGTTTTGGTTTGCTGGGGCCAAAAAAGGAAGCAGACAATCCATTTTTTTCTGATCCACTGCTGCTTTTAGTGCCTTCTGAGCTTGAGTCATCCTGACTGTCTTCGACTGCTGCCTGGTGAGCGGCCGCAAGGTTTGATTTGGGCGAACTCGGCTGGTAGCCTCCCTGGCGCAAGGCGTCGAGGACTCCTTCCAGACTGAGCTCAGAGCCTTTGCTTTCCACTGCCATTTTGTCTCGCTGCAGGGACCCTTGATTGATCTGCTCCAAAGCTGCTTTCCTCTTCCTAGCAAGGCCTTCGTCTAAGCCTGTGCGACTGTCGTGAACCAACTCAGACTCCTGCAGGGCTGAGTCCTGGTACTCTTCGTAGTCATACACACCCTTCTTGCCAGCATGAATCCAAATTCCTTTCACATCTCTACCCCAGAGGCGCTCTATCACTTCCTTGGTGGAGTCGTAGTCCCCATACTGTTGGGAGTCCCATGCCTCCTGAGTAACAAACTGTTTCTTGGGGGCGATAAATTTGCCACCTGTGCTTCTGGTCATCTGCATTTGCTTCAAGGCTTCCTGGAGCTCCTTCTTGCTCTGAAGGCGTTTGCGAGTGGGCCCGCCTTCATTGTGCTGTCGGACCCAGGCTTTGCGGGAGGCTAGAAACCCTCTATGATCATTCTGGTTTGCCTTCTTCGACACGTGCTTGTAGTAGTCATCCACGCTCTTATGCTCCTTGTGAAGGCCTTAGGACTGGGGCCTGCTGCCTTTTTGGTCTGCTTGCCTTAGGACTGGGGGGCCTACTCAAATGCCTTGGGCAAAGGCACAGGTTGCTTTAAAAAACGGTGGGGGCTTTAAGCAACCTTAGCCAGGATACCCAGGGCCCGATATACGTTAAAACATATCAGGCACAGCCTGCCACTTGGAACGCGGACAGTCTCCCCAGAGTCTTCCTCTTTCGCTTTCTCGTAGCTGCGCCAAGGCAGGCGTCCTTCCACCTCAGGGAAGATCTCATCAGTGGGGTACTCTAAGGGGGACTCGTCAGTGGAGCGGCCATTGCACAACTGGCAGCAACGTGGCTTCCGCAAGGTCGGGCAAGGCCACACGCCGAGGAAGCTGCTGTTGAGGCTCGCCCACTCCTGGCCTGTGGCCTTGGCAACCCGGCCTGTGGCCGAGGACTGTCTACACAGGCGTCTTCAGCAGCTGGCTGTTCACTCTCGCCACTTTCAGAACTCTCTGAAGTGCTCGCCATGGCTGGCCAAGGGCCAAGGCTTGTCAAAAGGCTGGTGGCCACTTGAGTGAGAGCGATTGCACAAATTGCAGAAAATATGTCTAAAACATTCAAACAATATCGCAAACAATTGCGAAAACAATGTAAGAATGTGATGTGTACGGAAAACCATGAGTTGTGTACGGAAAACAATGAGTTGTGTACGGAAAACCATGAGTTGTGTACGGATCTAAAATTGTTACATTGTTTCTAAAATTGATATGAAATTGTTCGAAATGTTTCAAACATTCTAACAAATCTTGGCGACGTTTGGCTTGTGACTTTTGGAAGCCAACCGCTGACACTGACAGGTGGCCCTCGCTTTTTGAAACCACTCGCCCAATCAAGCTACATGGCCCACAAGGGCGTCCAAGGCTTCTGAATCCAGGCCATCTGCAAATTGGGCCAGCTGGATCCCACCCATGCTAACGTGGCAATCGCGCTTGTTGCTCCCCCAAGACGTCGCATCAAGACCACTTACCAACCACCTTTTCAGTCTGAGTTGACACTCAGCGTCTGACAGGCCAGACTTTGACATAGCCTTTTTGCACTGTAGGCCAGGGCGGTTGGTGTCTGTGTGGCGCCCACAAATAGCACCCCATCCTGTGGGCTCTTTGCTCCCAGCTGCGTGGATTGGTGCGATTTGAAAGGATGGGTTAGTGCCCCAAACACTAGCACGTCGAACATTATGCCTGTCTTTGGGCCTTGGCGCGGCCAGTGGCCCAAGTGCTGGCTCAGAAGGCATGGCTGAGCCAGTCTCTCTCTCTACTTCAGTCGACCTGGCCGGTGGCCCGAGCCCTGGCTCAGAAGGTTTCGCCTCTGGCGCAGCCTCAAGCTCATTGTCAGTATCTGAGTCAGACTGAGAAGACCCACCGTGACTTGGGCTAGGGGACATGTCTCGTCTGGCCATCTTAGCGAAACTGCTGGCCAGGCTGGAGCGCGCTGCCCTTTTTTTCGGAAGTGGCTTTTGGTTCAAAGCTTTCAAGGCGGACATGGCCAGCTTTAGCTTTTTCTCCTCATCCATTGTCCTTTCAAGCGACTTGCGCTCGACCGCCTCCTTCCATAAAATGTCAAAATGGCTCAGTCGCTTGGCAGGGCCAACGCCAAGCACTGAAATGCGCCAGTCCTCTGCTTTGGTGGCGCAGTGAACGCACACCTGGACATCGCTCTTCAGGGTTAGATGTCCATCAAGGCTCTTCTCGCAAGCCAACACTTGGCAGATGTCTGGGGGGGCAGAACCATCATCTAGCTCTTTCTACTCTAAGAGCGCTGCCTGGATAGGTTTTTTCCTTGTAGAGTAAGCAACGGCCACATGGTACGGAAGAGCTGTTGGCGACCTAAACTCTAACACCAATGGCTCCTCTGAAAGAGCAGTTGGTTTGGGACCCTTTCGTAGAATCACTTCAAGGAAAAAGGCATGCAACCGCTGGAAATACGCAAAGGCTTGCGGGGTCAAACAATGTGGGCAGGAATCTGGACGGCACACAGGCCACAGCGGCGCCCGCAGCAAAGGAGCGCCGTCCATGCTGTCTGGACTTTCAGGCCGCAAACTGCGGCTGAAGCTTGTAAATTCTGTGCCCGTGAACCTGGCCTGAGGCCGAATAAAACCTGGCCTGAGGCCAACGCCAACATGAATTGAGTGTTCAGTTGCCTGCATCATCAGCAGACATGAACCCCTCAGAGGCATCACTATATGATGCCTCTATGCGGGAGCGCAGGGGGCTGAAACGCTCACAAAAGAAGTAGCACACAGTGCACCAGCCAATCAGCGCAAACACACATAGAGCTGCAAACCATGGCGTCTCCAAGCAAATGCACTTGCACATTGCAAAAGCATAGCGGTGGTCATGAAAACACATTGGATTGAAATCCTGAATGTCCAGTGTGGGAACATACCTGACCTCTTCTGCCATGGAAGAAAACACATCCTGTCGTGGTTCTAATACCCTTCTTGGACCAGAGTCTAGAAGCGGTAGCACAGCAGCAACAAAACACACAAATGCAAACAACTTTCAATAAATTGTTTCCACAAAAGAAAACAATTAAAACAATTGTCAGAACAATTGTTGAAACAATTTCCGACCTCAAAAGAATATTTCGCTTGTTTTTTTTGGCGTCCCCATCACCGGAGGTTTTGAAAACATTTAACGAGTAAGGTTTCCTCGTTCTGGATGAGCTCTTTCAGCTGCAAGCTGAAATTATCCAAGCAACAATCCCTCTCACCAAAGAATTGGCGCGCCTTTTCTTGTTGGAGTTCCGGGCTCAAGGCTGGCAACTCGGCCAGTGGCCATGGGTAGCGGCCCCAAGGCTCAAGAAGCTTCCGCCAAAGCTGGCCCAAAATTGTTAGAAGACAACGCCTGGTTGTGCGCAATCTTTCTGCTCTCCAAGTCAGCACAGGACCATAAAGCCCAACCAGTGGAATCCGAGCTGGAACCTGGACAGTGTCTGCTGTTTCAAGAAGCAGGTCACACAGCTCCAAGCTGGCAGCACTTGCAACACTGCGAAAAGAAGCCGCCAACAATCGGAGCAAAGCAGCGCGGCTTTTGTGCCTGAAGCTCGGACCACGCCCGTGGCCGCTCGGACGAGGCCTGTGGCCGCTCTGGGCACGTCTGGGCACACAAGGCCTGTGGCCACCCCCATATCGCCTAGCAATGTCAGCAAGCTGATCAGCATTCATCACTTCTTTGGCTCTTTGGGTGGGGTGAAATCCACTGGGCCCAACCTTTGCCTCTTGGCCTTAGGCTCTGGCGAGGGAGTGCCCAAGAAGTCACATTCGCAATCCCGAGCCAGTAGGTGTGTCCGTGCTGCATCACTTGGCTGCAGGTAGGGTGTAAACATGTCCATCAAGCAGAACCAACAATACAAGTATGTCATGGCAACGTTGCGGCGCGCTTGGGCTGTTGTGGCTTGAAAGCTTGGTGGCAGCATGGAGTGTTCAAATCGTTGAAGTGAAGAGGTTTTCAGAGGCGAGCAAACTGTTTACTAGCCTATGACTAAGGAACAAACTGTTTGAACAAACAAAAAGTCTACAGCAACCTTTTTCTCAAGGTTCAATACATCATATGTTTCAAACAGTTTAACAATGTTGTATACAATGTTATAAACAATGTTTCGAACGAAAACAATGTTATAAACAAAGTTTTGAACAATGTAACAATGTTATAAACAATGCTTTAAACAATATAACAATCTTTTAAACAATGTAACAATGTTATAAACAATGTTTTAAACAATATAACAATGTTTTAAACAATGTTATAAACAATACAACAATGTTGTAAACAATGTTTTAAACAATATAACAATATTATAAACAATGTTTTAAACAATACAACAATGTTATAAACAATGTTTTAAACAATATAACAATGTTATAAACAATGTTTGAAACAATATAACAATGTTATAAACAATGTTTTAAACAATTAAACAATTGCAAAAACAATGTAAGAATGTTTCGCTTGGTTTTCAAAGTGTTCCCGCCACAGTGGGTTCTGAGAACATCTAAATTTTATGCAAACACAAAGCAAAAACACTGCAGTTGTAGCTGACAACTATCACCCCAACCTCTGTTCTGCGTGTTTCCAGCACACGTCCTGTCAGCTACGAGTACTGAAAAAGTGGCGAAGCAACGTCCCAACCTCGTCGCTTCGCTCCGGGCCGAGTAGAAACACCGTCTTTGATGGTCTCCAAACGGAACACCGTCATTTTCTTGGGCTTCGGTCAAACCGCCAGGCTAGGAGCCTGGCTTGATTTGGGTTCGGGGGTGTTTGGGTTTCCTTCAACAACCCCTATGCGCCACACGTATGAACCGAACACAAGTGGTGCCAAGTCACATCGTGTGTCGTTTGACGCTGCCTCTCCGAGTTCCCACTCGACCAACAACACCAAGTTCCGAACTGTCCCTCGCCAAGGGGCTGACTCACACAAGTGGGTGGTCGGACGTCTTTGCCATTCCTTTGGACCAGGATGGTCTTAAACTCATGGTCTTTGCATGGAAAAGCGACCACACTGATCCTGGCGGCAAGATGTGTTGTGTTGGGGGTGAAGGTGAAGATGGCGCAAAAAAAACAACCTACTGGGTGATGCTGGGTGTTGGGTCTTCAAGCTTCAAAACCTCACATACGACACCTCCCCATTTCCACTCTACACCTTCCTCTCCAAGATCGACATACAAATGAAGGCTATCTCATGTGCCGTGATGGTCAAAGTCTGGCAACAATCATCGCTGACACTTACATAAACCCTTCATGGTCCATAATTACATGGCTATGGCACCAAACCAGTGCACACCCATATCCTTGGTGACATCTCCCACGTCTGACTAGATTCTTCAACAAATCCCTGGTGATCGTTGTTTTGCCAACAAAACTGATGGCTAAAAGGAAAAGTTAAGACTGCGTGGAGACAAGAAGAACAGGTGATGAACAAAAAGACATACCTGCCGTCATCTCCAACTTCCCAAGATCCCAGCTTCATCACTGACCGTCCTGGGGTTTTGTTCTCGAATCTTGGCCAACCAGCTTTGGCAAACCTGGAGGGGTTGAGTGAACTGCTCCGAAAGCAATGCAATGAGGTCCAACATGCCATGCCAAAGGGCACTTTAAGGCCAGTCTGTACCTTTCTTCCAGTCATGAACATTCCTTATACCTGCAACATCCCACGACATGTTTGACCGAACAGTACTCAGTACTCAGTACATGGCATAGGTTGGAATTGACCCAAGATGTAGCATCACTACAATGACAGCAAAGTAAAAATTTAGCTTATTGTGATTCCTTATAGTGTCTCCGGCTATCCTGGATTATCGGACAACAAACACACTTCGAACTTGGGTTTTCAGTTAACTCAATTGGAAGGTGGAGAACGGTAAGGTGAAGAGTCCGCAAGACTTGTAGATGTTTGAACAAGCTGTTTTGAAGTCTGCAGAAATGCGGCTGAACGACGGCGGCTGAAAGCAGCTGTAGGAAACCTGTTTGTGGGGAAGGTATCGTGAAAGAACCATGAATCAAACCTTGGAAAAGTAGGGTGACAGCTTGTGGAAAACTTCGCAGGTACATGAGAGTGATCACCCTTAAGCCAAGGTAAGACTATTTCCTAACTAATATCTAACGGGTTATACCCTGACTATTAGTCAGGAATGCAATAGACTATTTTTTAACTATATCTAAAATCGACCTTCCTTGAAAATAGTCTATTTATATAAATAGACTATGTTTATTTTGTTTTTGATATATTATTTCTTTAGTGTTGCAGGAACGTTTGTAATATTTTTTGCAAAACATTTGGGTGACATGTAGGCACTTTGATATGTTTGTGTATAGGTACTCTGCATGTTTAGTAGGCACTGAAGCCATCTTTCTGAGCTTGACAGATGTAATATGCCAATGAATATGGGCTCAGCAGATTAAGTTTAGAAGGCTTCCAGACAACATGACAGCTCAAATATGTTGAAGCTCTCTGCTTGGAGCTCACATTCCTGGTCATTTGATGCACAATTATGTGAAAGTTTTCTGGTGTCACATTCTGGTCATTGCTGGTCATATATCCAATCTGGTGTCACCACAGTTGTAAGCCTCTTGCTTTTACCCATGCCCATAGTCGCAAGAGCAACAGTGGATCCTGCAATTGGTGTGCAACCTTTGATGCTGGCCTTCGAGAACCATTTGAAAAGGTGTGGCGCCAAAGATTTGGAGACTTCATTGTCAGTGCCTGACAAGAAGCCTTGGGTGTCACCCCTTGCATATGATTTGGTCAAAGAAGCTAGAAATGCTGTCCTTCCAGCAAGAAAGTAAAGCTTGCCTTGCAGAAGCTCTTTGAAGCAAAGAAGATCACAGTCAAGAACCAAAACAGAGAGGTGTGTGATTGTATCGACACTTCTGATCAAATGGTCAGTGTATTTCTGAGCCAGTTCAGGAAGGCAAAGCAAGACAGGGATTGTTACATGTCCTTGGTGAGGAGGATGTCTGACCAAGAAAAAAGGGCTTTGGATGAAGTCCTGGGGTTCTTGCCTTGTCCCAACCTGTTGAAACAGAGGAGGGTCAAAGCACTGTTGGTGAGACAGCTTGGTAGTTTACAACCCTTCCAGCAGCTCCACTCCACTTCCTACATCACTGCCAGCCTCCAGGCAATCGATCTTCCGGAGAATCCTGGCCAAGGAACCATCATCGGTGGCATGTTTGTGGGTAAGCCCTGGTCTTCTTCATCTTGCTCTGAAGCTGAGCAGCCGCCCAAAAAAAGCCAGGTCTTGAAGGATGTAGAACGCAACCACTATTTGTTGCAAAGGCTTTGGAAGATGCACTGGAGCAGGATTGCCCCAAGATTGCCAAAAAAACGACCTGCTGGAAAGCCTGCGCGCAAAAAGACAGCTGCAGATTTGCATCCCACAAAGGCAAAAACACCAAAGGGCAAGAAAGACCAAAAAGGCACCAAGGATATGAGCCAAGCACCTGGACCAGCTGCAGCCTCAAAATGAGGCAGCCCTTGACTTCTGGATGGAAAAAGGGCGTTTTTCCCATGCTGTTTTTAAGGAAACAAGTGGCAATTTCCACTTGACAAGTGGCAATTGCCACTTGACAAGTGGCAATTGCCACTTCCAACTGGCAATTGCCACTTGTGTAGTGGAAATTGCCACTTGTACATTGGAGATGTTGTAAGAAAATGTCAACTTTTGCATTGAATTTTGTATGCACTTAAGCGCTTTTGGTAGCTTTTTGTAGGCTCCCAGGCACTCCATTTGGTAGGCACTTAGGCACTTTGTAGGTATTCAGGCACTCCATTTTGTTTGCACTTAGGCACTTTGTAGGCACTTACCCATCATGTAGGCACTCCATTTTGTAGGCACTTTTTAAACACAATTGCACATGAACAAACACAAGTTCAGAATCATTGGCTAATCTTGCTTCTTTGCTCCAATCAGTTTCCAACTAGCACATCTTGAAGCATGTGCATTCACATCCATGGCAGACATGAATTAAAAGTACTTTCACATCCAACAATGGGCAAAATGAAACGACCTGCTTCAGCCATGGAGACTGACAATCCAGAAGAGCCATATGTCGAAGCCCCTTCAGATGCTGTGCAAGCCACCCCAGAGGTAGCAGAAGCAGAAAGTGTCCTTGGAGTGGATGACACAGTCAAGAAGAATGCTGGCCCGGTGAAGAAGAAGCCTGCAAAGGCTAAGGCTGCTCCTAGGAGCAAAGATCCAAAGGCAAAGATTGTCTTGAAGAAGCCTTCAAAAGCAGATCCACCCAAGCCAGCGCCCAAGCCAGATCCCAAGCCATCAAAAAGGAGTTCCATCATGGACCAAGCCAAGCTGTGGAAGCAAGGGCTGGCTTCAAAAGAACAAGATGCACATCGAGAAGGATCAGAAGAAGGTGTGGTTCGAAGTCCAAAGAGGAAGACACTGATGGTGAATACAGAGACAAGGGAAAAGGCCAGAAATGGAAGAAGATGTGTGATCAACATGCTATTCCCAGTCACATCCTGGACATGTTCCACAAGGAGAGCAAAAAACAGAAGGATCCAAGGAAGTGGAAAACTCAGATTATAAACAAGCTCTTCAAGAAGAACCCTACCACCAAGAAGTATGACATGGTGGCTGACCAGCCATGGTTCAACAGCTTCAGAGGGGCTTCAACAACAGGCTTTGGAGTAGAACAAACAAAAGGCAAGCCAAAGTCAGTCTTTCTTCATTCCAAATTTCATGGCAGGCCATAGTCTTGGGTGAATGTGACTGAATGGAAGCCCCTCAAAGAAACACAGAAGATAGTCGAGAAAGTCAGGTTTGCAATGTCAATCCAACTGGAGAAGTTGAGCGAGGATTGAAAAAGCAGCTAGCAGCCTCCTTGCTTGGTACATTGACAATACTTCTGGCAACACTGTGTGCTTCTTGTGCTTCTTGTGGCTTTGTGACATCTATAAGCAGCTTTTCTAGGCACTTTCTTGGTCTTTGGCACTTTGTCTGGCATGCCTAGACATGAAGTTTCTTCAAAAAAATTGACCAGAATCAGAATCATAATTATATTAAAAAGGATTCCCTCAAAAAAAGACTATAAAAACAGTCTATTTTGAAATAGACTATTTTTATGCCTGAAAATAGTCTTAAAAATAGTCTAAAAAATAAGATATCGGTTTAGATAATAGTTAGGATATAAGATATCAAGTAGGATATAGATATTAGCTAGGAAATAGTCTAACCTTGGCTTAAGGGCAGCTCTCACTTCCCTCGACACATCATAGCTTCGTTGCGTCAGGTAGATGTGTCGAGCCTGACGCCCCTGCCTGATTGGAGTGGTCGAAGGAAACCCTTTGTCCAGGGGTGGACACACACAGGTCGCCGGCTTCGGCGCTTTTTCAAAACACCCCCTACCGTTGAACCAGTGGAAGAAAACCTTTTGCCCAGGGGTGGACACACACACACAGAGCCGTTTTCGGCGCGGTCAAAGTAGTAGTAAGGCCAGGGGCCTCCAGTAGCGTCCTAACTCCCAGGGGAACATTTGTACAAAAGGCGCCAAATTGTTGGCGCAACGAAGAACTAGTAGACACCTAAAAAGCCTTAGAAAGACAGAAAAAACAACGAAACAAGAGCAGACCAAGAGGGCAAGAAAGAAAAGTAGGTGTAGTTACGAGGCCCACTTAGTTAAACGAAAGTAGAAGGCGAGCGGGACATTCGTCTTAAACCGCCCGGGTAGCTAGCAATAGCTAGGAGAAACAGAAGGAAAGGCACCAACACACAAGTGTGTTGAGTGCGATTTCCTTCTGTTTCCCGAGTAGCGGGTGGGATAGCAACGGAGGCCTGGGGGTAGGGAGGGGGGGGGGGGGGTGCATGATGAATTCATCCGGCCTGTGAATACTTAGCAGCGCAGGCATGTGAATACTTAGCCGAAACAGATAAAATATGACATTGCAAGGTTGTAAGATCAGGAAACTTAGGATTGCTCTTCCATCGTTTATAGCCCGGCGGCTCGAAAATCAGAAAATTCAGGGTAAAATTGAGACCGTGGGTCAGTAATGAAGAAGAAAGGTCGGTGAATTCCAGTCTGATTTCAGCGCCTCCTTTCGGAGGATCACACCCAGCACCCACGTGGGAAGACTGAGCTGAACACACTTCGAACTTGGGTTTTCAGTTAACTCAATTGCCACGATGGGAAGGAAGGTGGAGAACGGTAAGGTGAAGAGTCCGCAAGACTTGTAGATGTTTGAACAAGCTGTTTTGAAGTCTGCAGAAATGCGGCTGAACGACGGCGGCTGAAAGCAGCTGTGGGAAACCTGTTTGTGGGGAAGGTATCATGAAAGAACCATGAATCAAACCTTGGAAAAGTAGGGTGGCAGCTTGTGGAAAACTTCGCAGGTACATGAGAGTGATCAGCTCTCACTTCCCTCGACACATCATAGCTTCGTTGCGTCAGGTAGATGTGTCGAGCCTGACGCCCCTGCCTGATTGGAGTGGTCGAAGGAAACCCTTTGTCCAGGGGTGGACACACACACACACACCGTAAAACAATCAACACCCAAAAATCAATAAGCCAACCAAAAACTCCCAGAGGGGGGCCGAACTTGGAGGATAGGGGTGCCCATTATCCACTCACTTAGAGACCCAAAAACCATCCATTTGGAACTGGTAGGTTCAAATTGTTCGATCCGGAACAGTCGTCCCAGCTTTCAGCGGCCAAACATCCGATTTATCAGCCTCCCCAGTCTGCCCCAGGCAGATTTGTTTCAAAACAAAGCCAAAGTCGCCAGAGTCGCTACACAAGATCAACTCCAAAGGGAATAAAAAACAAAAAAACACTTGAAGTGTGTGCACCCCCGCAAACGAACGACCCTGAGAAGGAACACCCATGGTGGTTAAGAAACCCTCCTTCGAATACCAACCCAGCGGTTTTTTGGGAGGTTCCATGTGAATCTGCAGGGGAGTACAGTCGGGACCTTCGCCCACCTCGCAGGGCCATAGTGGTGCAATCTCCCCCGAAGGGTCCAGGACTGCGATAGCCTCCACGCTCGCCCCGCGGACGTCCGTGGGCGACTTGGCAAAACCACTCTGTCGGTATTAAAACACCCGACAAAATCAAAGACCTTTACTTTCTAAGGATGTGTTTGATACTGTAATCTGTTGACACCAGGATTGTTCTATCAAAGGTATGTTGGGACGCCCTTGGTGTGAAGTGCCTACATTCATAAGATAAGGGGTATGAAACACAAGTACATCTACCAGCTTCTTCAAAGTGACCTTTTTGGAGTGCCTAAGTGACCTTTCACAGGCCCAAGTGACCTCAAACAGGGATATCAAAAGGTCACTTTGAAGAACCAGGTAGACCTTTACGCAGTGTGTTGTTTATTTAATGGTTTGACCTCCAGAATTAATACAATGATATATTCGCTATTTTGTATACTGCTGTATTTTGATGTATGTTGTTATATGTGAGCCATGTAGACACGCAACACAAACAAATTCAACAAACCGGGTCCTAAATATAAGCAGCAAAAAACAATTTTTGTACCAACCAGGTGGTTGGAGATGCAAAGCGCAAAGCAAAGGACATTCGGGTCCACACACACACACACGGTTGCAGCTCAGTGATCAATATTTCGGAATGAAAAGGCACTATATGGCACTATATTGCTACGGACCTCCAAGTCCTTCATATATTCTGCATTCTGAAACTATAACCATATCTCTTTCTAATCATGTATATATATACCATTATATACCTGGGTCTTGGAAACGGCACAAATCATTGCCGTTTCAAGAACAAATGCCGTGGACCGGCGTCATTCCCAAAGACGTCGTGACGTCTTTGCGGAAACCGACGCGTCCCGTACAACAGGACGCCCCGTCAGATGTTCGCAACCCGTACAACGGCATGTTGTTTTGATTGCGGCATCTTTCACCCCCACCCCTTGTCTATCTGGTCTCATGGTGTTCCTGAAGAATATGCCACACTCGTTCGTGTCGGCCCTGTCCAACACTTCCCCGTCCGGTCCCGGCTGCTCGCCTTGATGCTCTTCGCGTGGAAGAACTCGCTGGCGGCCCGAGCGATGCCCGCACGCTCCGCGCACAGGGAACCGGACGGCAAGCTGACCTGCGCGTCGACCCAAACCGGAAACCGATGAGTGGCAGCCATGGCCCGGCGTCCACCGAAATGGGGATCATGCCACGACTGATCTGCAGACTGAGGGTGCACAGATTTCCACATATATATACACTTACAAGTATATCAATTTATATCAAGTATTGTGGAGTTGCTATTGCATGCGAAAACAAACCAAAACACACAAACGGCACCAACAAAAAGGTAAACAACGGGCTTTGGCAGAACATGTCCTAGGTTCCTGCGAGTTTAGTGTTTGCATTTCACTACATGTCAATCTCCAAAAATAGCATAATGCCAAACTGTATATAAAAAATGAGACCACCCATATACCAACCCCTGGCTGCCAACCCCCAGCAGGCAGACCTCGGTGTTCATCCCTCGCAGCGCGTGAAGGGTTCCATCCTCCTGGGCGCAAACCACCACAGAGATGACCACCTGCGGGCGACGACACGGTCTCCGGTCCCACGGGACGTCCCGAACGGGATCGACGGGCGCGATGGAGAGAACACGGAGGGAGAAGCGAGTCATCATGCAAACCAAGAACACGAGCGAAGTCATCCACGGAAGGAGTTGTTTTTGGATGATATATACATGAAAATATCGTCAGGAATGTCCATACACCACCCTTTGCGTGCTGCTCGTTTTGATGCATTTCGTCCCAAACAGCCTGCTGTTGGGATACGACTGGCTTTCCAAGAATTGCATCGTGTCACAAGAGGACTTCCCCACGGTCTCCCCACTTGCTTCCCTTCTTGTCTCCCCACTGGCATCCTGTCACCACATGATTTCCCCACTTGTCTCCCTCCTGAAGGTCTCCCACTGGCATCCTGGCATGACATGATTTCCTCACTTGTCTCCCTTCTCCCGGCTGGGATCCTGTCATGGCCCGAATCCCCACTGGTCTCCCTTCTTGACTCCCTGCTGGCTCGTCTCCCCCACTTGTCTCTCTTCTTGCCTGCCCAATGGCAACCTATTACATGATTTCCTCAGTTGTGCCCGCTGTTTCCCTTCTTGTCTCTCCACAGGCAACCTGTGGATCTCATTGACAGAAGTCTTCTCAGTGAAGCCATGATCGCCGGATGATCATTATAGCATGTGCGCGGGCGAACCTTCGCTTGTCCAAGTCTCCTTTCTCACATCAGGGAACGGTTTCTGAACATGAGTGCTTCTATGGTTCGAAATGTACACATGATCTTGTGAATATGTTGAAAAGGCCCAAGTTTGGACTTTGGACATGTAAGGTCATGTGTCCGAAAACACTGGCTTGCATTTCTTGAAATGCATGTCTGAATATACACACGAGTATGCATTCGGAAGGGTGAAGCTCGCTCAATTCTACGTCACGCTTCCGAAAAGGGACGCTTGTATTGCGCGAATTATGCAGAGTAATTGCTAGAAAAAACATCAAACAATGCCGCGCTATTGAAAGGACAAGTTTATGCGTTGCAAATATGCATGCAACATCACGCAAAATACCATGGTCCGCTTCTCAAATCATGACATGCCTCCGAACTCTAAATGCACAGATGCATTTCAAGCAGTGCAAAACGGTATGCGTTGTTGTGTTTTATTTTCAGAGTCCACACCCTGCCTAGCTCATCCCCTAGCTACTGCAGGGGTGGGGTAGTGAGTTGCCTGTCCGCGGCACCCAGGGATTGAACCCACGCTTGTGTAGTCATAATTAGGCACAAATATTCTTGAACATGGAGCACGCTTCTATCCTTCTGACAAGCCAGAGTTGTGACTTTAAAATTGCAACGTCCGGTTTCTCAAAACACATGCTTCTTATATATGTATATATATATATGCACAATACGTGACATATGTTTTGTATTTTGAGAAAACATGCTTATGCATTTGGAAATGCTGCCTCATGTTCTTGAAAGCACACGTTTGCATTGGTCCAAATCCACAGCTTGTGTTTGCAATGTTCTTAACTGGGTCGATGCTGGTGTAATTCAATGTTTTTGACACTGTGATCTGTATCGGATGATTTGGATGAGTTTGGTGCATGGCTGGTTTGGCAATTCCATGCCACACCCCTCCGCATCATTCCGCATCCTCATGTTAGGCAGGCCTTTCTAGACTTTCGCTGCCAGAAGTTGTCTGTCTGAGCGTCTTGCCAGTCAGAGAAGTACCTCATGCAGTCCAGTGAGAAAGTCCACCCCACAAAAATAACATTCGGAAGGGTACTCCCAAAGGAACTCACATAGAAAACATAAAAATGGTTGAGCAAAATGGTCTAGGTGGGCCCAAATATGTTTACATCCTATTGTTGCACAATGATCCTGCAAACAATGTTTCAGCCTTCCGCCACGTTGCCATGTTCCACCCATCCCAAACCATGTACGGAATAGTTTTACGTACAATTTATATACCTCATAGTATACGCTCACTCTGACATTTGTTTTCAGTGACTCAGTTACCACGTTGGGAAAATGGTGAGGGAACGGCAAGGCGCATGAGTCGGTCCAAACAGTATTGTTTAAAAAATGTTTCCACAGGTGCAAGTCTGCAGTCGGCGGCTGGCTGCAAATCACGATCGGCTAAGAAGTGCAGTGGAAAAACCTGTTTGTGGGGAAAGTAGCATGAAGAAGGACCATGAAACAACGAACAGCGGCAGGGTGGACCAGTGGAGTCAATGTGTTGAAAGCAGGTACGTCAGTTCCGCGTCCGGAACTGATATCAATACCGCCACAGAAGCCTCTTCGTTGGACTGTCACTTCTGTGGGGTAGACAGTCCCCCTGCCGAAGTTGGTTGAGAACCCTTTGTCCAGGGGTGGACACACACAAATCGCCGGCTTCGGCGCTTTTTCGAAGAACGGTGGCACACATACGGCGCCGCTTCGCGGCGCGCATGTGAAAAACCTAAATAGTCACCTAAAAAGCCTTAGAAACAAAATGAAAGAAAGACAGAAAGAGCAGCGCTAAGAGGGGAGAAAGAAAGATAGGTGTAGGAAAAATGACTACTTAGCCCTTGACTGGGGTAGGGAAACGAGCCTCAAGAACAACCTAAAAAGCCTGAGAGAAAGCCCAAGAAACGACCGAAGGCGTAAGAGGAAAAGCGGGGGGCAGGGAAGTGTATGTACATGTGTGTGTGTGTGTGTCCGTGTGTGTGTATGAATACTTAGCCCTCTAGAATTACTGATTACTTAGCAGAAATGAATTGCGTGCAATAGCTAGGGAGCGGGACTTTAGTCTTAGACCGCCCGGGTAGGAAAGACTAGAAAAGGAACAACACAGGGAAAGGCACCGACACACAAGTGTGTCGAGTACCATTTCCCTATGTTGCCCTAAATAGGTAGGGAGTAGAACTCAGCGGGGGGGGGGTTGGGGAACCTGCCTCATTGGGGGTTGAGCACCGCACCGTTTTATAGCCCGGCGGCTGTCGAAGTAATCCCGTTTTTGGGCCCGGCGGCCAATGCATCAGTTGATTCTATGGATGTGTCAATGACTTCCAGTGGAAATCCAGTGGTAGGTGGCAAGTTGGGGTGGATGATTTCCTATGCAAAAACGGTGCCCCTGTGACGGGGATCACACTCAGCACCCGAGTGGGATGGCTGAGCGAAACACACTCTGACATTTGTTTTCAGTGACTCAGTTACCACGTTGGGAAAATGGTGAGGGAACGGCAAGGTGCATGAGTCGGTCCAAACAATATTGAAACCTCTTCAACTAGAAGTGGTATACATATAATGAGGAAGTGGTATATGGAAATCAAAGGACATGTGAGACCTTTATCACTTGTAGTTGGAGAGTCTGAAGGAATACATGCACGTATGCATTGATTTATTTTGGGTTGAACACTTTGTCATGTATGTTTCTTTGTGTCAGACATAGGTACTTTCATGCCCAACACAAATTGCTAGGCTAACTGGTATTTGATCATAATAAAGTTCAAAATAGCTTCTAGGGGTCTCCTTAGAACATTTAGTTAATTACTTCATAACTTCATAGAGGAGACCCCTTTAGGTAAAGTTGTCTCAAAACTATACAATGATGGTAAGATGAAACCTTCTGTAATTCTTGATAGAAGTGTTATAATGTGCATGTGCCTCATCCAAAGTTGTTTGGCTCACACTCTCCTTCACTTGTTTTCCAGCAGCCTGGGACCCCAGAGAGATGCAAGTGACAGACTGCTTCAGCATGCTTGACAGTTGTCAACCTCTGCACGGCTGCTTTGTGGGCTCAAAAGAAGCAACAGGGGCAGCCACACACCAAATCAGTAGACTAATCATTGAACATGCTAACTAGCTTCCATCATTTTAGGGGTTCAAGCAGTTCAACAGTTTTTAGGTGTTCAGGTGTTCAGGAGTTTCCTGAGCCCTGCTGCTGCCATGTTCTTCTGTGGCTTTTGCCCTCCTGAGGAGTGGTGGTGGGGGAGGAACTGGGGTCGCAATAGAGGCCACCAGAGAAAAGAGTGGTGGGCCAAGCAGGGTTCTGCACCTGCACCTGCCAGTTCAGGGAACCCAGTGGTTGTGCCTCCAAGGCCACCATGGAACCCAATGCCAGGGTCCAACCCAAAGCCAAAGCCGAGGCCCCCCACCCAACCTCCTGCGCCAGGGCAGCCTTCCCAGCCTGCCCAGCCTTCCAAGCCTGCCCAGCCTTCCAAGCAGCCAAAGCAGCCATCAAAGGCATCAAAGGCACCACCAAAGCTACCCCCAACACCAAAGCAGCCCCCACCCAAGAAGCGAAAGGCAGAAGTGCTGGAGGTGCCAGAGGATGATGATGCTGAGGGTGGCAATCTTGCCAAGATCTACATCTACTCAGCAGGGCTGCAACAAGCAGGTGATAGGTTTCATGTGAAGCTTGGACCATCATCTAGCATCATTTTTACTTTAAGGTTATTGTAAGCATGAGAAAGATTTCTGGTTAGAAGCATGTGAGTCCCACCTGTCCAAGGAAGAAGTTTGAGATGACCTTCCCACTTCACCATTTTCATGACCCAGCAGCAGACACGAAGCACATGGGGACCAACCCCAGCATTCAGTCTGGCCTGGTGAACTGCCCAGAATTCAGCAATTTAGCGTGGCTTGGATGGATTGAATCAGCCTTGTCAATTTTTTGGGGCACCACATAAGGGACCCCAGGCTTTTAGCTGTATATTACACTTTTGCATCATTGCATTGCTTTGAAGCCATCAGAGGCAGAGAGTGAAGGGAGCCATCAGTGGTGGAGCCACCTCCATTGCCTTCACTTGCTCAGCAGGGAGACATAGGTCTGTGGCAGCTGCAATCATTTTCGGGCACCTCCTGCGATGCCACTCACTTTTGAACCAATCCATTAGCACATTTTGCTTTGTAAGTTTTTGCACCTAGTACTTTGAAAACAACATCAGGTTTGGTTTCTGAACTTTAATGCCCATCTTAGGTTTGGGGCATGAGGTGGAAGTGGAGCACCTCAACCGCAAGGGCTGGACATGGTGCAAGGGTAATTGCTCAGACTGCTGGCAGTGACTAGGCATGATTGGGAAATTTACCGTAAATTTTTTATTTTCAGACTTAATAATATAGTAAGGCAATTTTTTTGTTGCAACCTGGCAGCTGGACTTGAGGCACAGTGAGAAGCCGCCTGCTCAAGTTTGCAAGAAGGCGCTGCAGCTTTGGGAAGGTGTACAGGCCTGACTTCTGACTTCTGACTTCAAGGAATCAGGAGTTCAGGGGTTCAGGAGTTCAGTAGTTTGTCACTGAACCATTGCACAGAAAAAGGCTGGCTCACAAGCACACATCCTGACTCCGCCCACCCCCCACACTGAACCCTGACATTGCTTTAAAGTTGTGGACGGATTGCTTGCTGAGGCCACATGTGCATCCTGGTGTAGGCGCCTGGGAAGAGACTGTGGGTCTAAGGAGAGTGAGGGGAAGCTGTAGTTGGTAAGCTTGTTTACCATTGTGGGGTTTCTGGCTGCCTGTGCTGTAGCACTGTTCTTCTTGCTTCATACACCAGTCAAAAATGCTTTGGCCAGGCCTGGCAAAGACCATCATCCTCAACTACCTCAACGGTTGGGGCCTCCCAGAGTGTGAGATCAGCAGCATTTCATTCAGTCTAAATTTGCAGGCATAGGCAGGAATATGTATATATAGTAAGTGGACAGTCAGAGGTATTTATATCTTGACATTTGATCATGATGACTTTTGAACATGATTTATGCAGCCTCAGCCATTTTGCACCCAGCACCCCAGCATCCAGCTCCTACTCTGTCAGCTGCATTGCCATGGCAGACCTCACCCCAGCTCAGGAATCAGCTCAGGAAGAGGTCAATGAGGCTCAGCTCAGGGCCCATTGCGACCAAGACGGTGACAGGTGGCTGTTGGTTGAGGGTCAAGTGGTTCCTCCTCCCTCCACACAGTCCACACACAAGGACTGGGATTATTTGTTAGTGTCATGCTTCAAAGAAAAAATCATGGAAGGGAGGGTTGATGAATAGTGGATTGTAGAGCCACCCTGAGGCTCCAGCTCCAGAGGACCCAGTTCCCATTGAGGAGAAGGAGGAGATTCAGGAGACTGAGCACCACCCAGAGACATTGAGCTCAGAGTCATCTCTGGCCCCATCAAATGCCCTGGGCCTGACAGGCAGGTTGAAGATCTCAAGGTATGCAAAAAACAGGTGTCCTCATACTTGAAAGTTTTATGGAAGTGAAATGATGTCCAATCCCACTTCCAATCCCTTGGCAGGTCCATGCCCTAGGCCTGGGCACGTCAAGAAGCTGGTGACGAACATTGAACTCGGCAGATCCGTGGGACCCTACCGTCCAGAACAAGAAGCCGGATATCCAAGCGGATCTCTGAGGAGTTCAGGTGTTCAAGGTGTTCAGGAGTTTGATCTGGCTTCTTCTGCACCTTCTATCAGAGCCCTAGCTGCAAAATAAGATAAACTATTAATCTATAATGATCTATACATGTTATATATACACATTATATTGGAACATGTTGGCACACACCCCCATACACATTTACAAAGAGAGCTGTGTCTTCAACCCGAGGTCCACCATATGTGGAGAAGGTGCCCCTCTGGAACTTCAGCCAGTTCTATGTGGCCATGAAGAATAATCACAGGAGGATTCCGTTGCCCGATCCAGTTGTGGCATCTTGCATGCATCATTCAACTCTGTATCTAGCCTGGTAAACCTAGTGGAAT